AATTAGGTCATTAGATTTTTTAAAAATTTCTTCTGTTATGAATTTAATCTAATAACAAAAGTACAAGTTGAAATATATTTTTGCCAATTCGTAAGCTTAAAATAGGTCATTAGATTTTTTTTTAATTTCTTCCATTATAAATTTGATCTAATAATTTTATTTTTGAGATATAAAGATTTTATGACAGTTTTTTTTACTTTCACGACTAGGTCTCTTATTTCAAACAAAAAGTTATTTCTATTTAGATACTAATGCTTCTGTTAATTTTTAATATTGACCTATAAATACTATAGGCACTTCCAAATCCAAATTTCATAAAAAAATCACGAAAACAATTTTTTCCAATGGTAATGCTTGCTTGTTAATTTTCAATATGCCTATGATCTCTTTTCGCATGCATTAATTTATATTCATTAATTTCAGTTACTTTTGTAAATTGTCTCAACTAAATAAACTAATTATTATTATTCAGGCAATTTTTGCTATTTGGTTTGTAAGGAAATGGAATATCAAAATTTATTGTACATATGTTATCATCAAAAATTTTATCGTTTCTTAGATATCCAAATTTGCTAATATCTTCAGATAACATAATCTCTTAAATGAGTAACACTTTTCAAAGATAAGTTAAAATATTTAACATTTCCACGATTAAATAAAGATCTCTAGATTTTTATATTTCTATAATATTGAGTCTTAAATATTTATTTTTTTGCAATTGTGTACTAGTTTCATTGTTCATATTGAGGTAAATTTGCAAAAAAAATGATATGAGTATCGCAAGTTTAGAGAAAAATTGAATTTTATTCAGAAGATATAAAAAAGTTTTGCTTCAACAAAAATTGAAAATAAATAATATTAGAATGTTTCATCGGGGTCATAAATAGAGATAATAAAATTCTGATAAAATAGAAAATTACCTATTACCATCAAGTTATACCTATTAGTATATTTACGGTCGTATTGTGAATGTATTAATAGATTTATATATTAAAATAACATTCTGTTTAAATTTTATAATAGCGTATTGACCTTGCTTCAATAGTATCAAGCCTTCTGCAAATTTTTATTTTATATAATAAATTAATCTAATGAGGGGCTCCACTACATGTTGATTATTCACATACATTATTTATATTGCCAGGTCGCACTTTAATTTTTTTTTATCAATTATTCTACTTGAATTTTATTTATTTATTTATATTAATTTTACGCAGCATTAAGTGCTGTTTTCTCGAGGGCTCTTTTCTTGGAAACATGCTTTTTTGATCTATATTCTCAAATTAAAAGTAATGTCAAATTTTCTGGACTTATTTTAATAGGTGGTCGTATGATATGTGGTATATGCTGAGATGTATGTTGTTAGGTTTTCACCGTATTTTTACTGAAAAACAAGAAATAATGATATTCTTATGAGCTTATTCTATATATTGGGATGCTGAATGGGATATTTCACTCGATGATGCATCTAGCATCAACTCAATATCAATCACTAGAGATACGTGCGATATTTTTCATTTTGATAACTAGATGCAACAAAAACGCATTTTTGCAGATTTTAATTATATATATATATATATATATATATATACATATATATGTTCGGATATCAATTTATCGGCTTCTTCGATTGTAAGGTATTACTTGAAAATGACGTCACGAAGTACTTATCTATAAATACTTACACATGCTATCATGAAATTGAATTTGGTATCATTTAAATTTTAAGATTATTGATTTCTGTAAATTAACTGACAAACAGATGTTATAAAACTGAACTCTGAGATAAATACGCTCTCTGCAAAATAATAAAAATTTATTGATAATATTTGTTTTATAATGCTATCGGTAGTAAAATTTCTCTATCAATTTATATACAGTATTGCATATTTTTGTTTATATGCAAAATGTAAGTTCTTTGAAGTACCCAAGTATTCCATAATAATTTTAAATTACTTTTTCTCAATAATATGAGCCTAGACGCATTTTTATTTTTTATTGATTTCTGTTTTCAGCATTTAGCGACTTATATTATTTTATTTCTATTTTATTCAATTTTTAAATAATTTTCTATATTTTTTTTATCTATTTTACATTCTTCTTAAATCTCATTTTATTCCATATTTTCTATCATATTGATTTTTTTAATACCAACTTCATTTTATTTGTATAGGTACATAATGTTCTAAAACGCGAATGCAAAAAAAAAATAACTTTAATAAACCGAAATGTCATAAAATTTGCACGAAATTCAAGAAAATATAGTATAAACTTAAAATTTAATTTTGGAAAACATATAATATAAATGTATTCAAATCGCGAAAAATTAGATCAATCTTAAGGAACATTTAAATTTTTAAAATACACTATAAATTAATTAAAATCATGCATCCAAATCCTATAAAAGTTAGATGAAAATATATTTTTTTTTGTAACAAGAAATATTGCATCTCAATCGCGTAATTAGATTTAATTAGCCTTTAATTTATATAGATGTTGTTAATTATTAATTTATAATTGTGATTCTTCCTGCTAAATATTCTACAATAACATTATTTGACACATGACAACATAGATTTTGTGTAGGAAATAATGATCTTTCTCAACATTAATTACTATCAAGATATATTGACCATGAAATAAAATAAAACTCGTTTCCAAGAGATTTTTTTCTATGCTGCAACTGCTGTTAAATGCAATTATTAACTTTTTTATTAAACAATTTTAATTGAATTCTGTAATAGTTTGAAACAGTTTATCGTGTATTTAATTGAGAATGATATATAACAATTTAATTATTCAAAATTATATTTTTATAATTTGTCTAGACACATAATATGCTCAAAAGACACAATAATACATAAAGTTACAGCATATCAATGTTAGCTAACAATAAGTGAAATCTAATTTTATTTATAAAATAGCTCACATTTCAAGTTATTTGATAGCAATCGATTGAATTTGATTGATTGAAATAATATATATTATCGCGTTTTGGCTTGATTAAATTATTGATTATGATACTGATTATTTCATTGGACTAAATTCATTTATAATAATTATTCATAGCATTGAGTGACTTATTTTATCATATGCGATCAGTATTATTTCCTAACAATGAATGTGGTTTTCATATAATTTTAAATTAATATAAACTTGGCGCCATAATTTCACATATCAAATAAATTTTTTGCAGAAAATTAAAATATCTCATCTTCTCTAAAATAAATAATTTTAAATCTCAAGATATAAACTTTTTACTCAAAATATTTCATTTCAACGTTATTCAAAATAATTTGTCATATTATTATAAATATTTTTTCATTTAAAAGTTATTGTCAATCCTTTCTAGTGTTAATTTATTTTGTAACAAATCTAATCCTGATAAAAAATACGTCAAAGAGAATTTTATCGATGAAGGTTTTTTTAAAATAATGACATTAAATAAATTAGCTAACTTCGCTCTTGAATAAAAATATTTCATGACGCTATTCATATATTTCATTTCGATTTCTAAAATATTCTGCTTTAAGGTGATAGTAATAATTGTTATAATATATGTACGAGTATATATATATATATATATATATATATATATATATATATGCCTGTTTTTATTTATCTTGATACATATTTGTTATAGATACCATAAAAAACCTCAAATTAAAAAATAATGGTTATAAACAATTATCTATTTATATGTTTCAACTCTCGATCTGTGTCTTTATTCAGTAAATTATACCAGGGAAGTACGAAACATAAGTAAAAATATCTTCATTGTTTGAAATTTTCGACAATAAACCACCAAAAAATAACAATTATGAAAATAATACATCTAAATTTTTGTCTACATAATGAACTTCCATCTATCAATTTACTAATTATTTCTTTAGTTAGATATCATTTTGTTAGATTTTTTTTATATTCATATATAAAATCTAATCACGAGAGGTGATAAAGCATTCAAATTTTGATCTAAATTTTTACATTTGTACAAGATATTTAGAATTTTTTTGCATATTACAAATCGGAAAAAATATACACAAATTTGCATACTATTATAACTTGCATAGATTACTTGCATTCTTATAAATTATTCAATAATTAATATTATAGCCACGTGGATTATTAATATTTTTTGTTAATAGCCTTATTTCTAATTCTAAGAAAGAAATGGTATTAACAATTGTTTTATCTTGTCGAAACCAAATATAATTGATAAGAGTCATCATTCATTCTTTTAGATTTTTTTTTCAATTTATATATAAAGTATTTATTCATATACATTGTAATATAATTTTTTGAGGTTTTTATGACCCAAATTGTCAAAATAAAAAAACAAGTACTTGAATTAATTATTTTGCACGTTTCGAGACTGAATGTGTGCCATCATTTAGTAAACTATGTCAGAGACAACACAAGAAAAATAAAACATTGATTTGTAATGAAAAAAATACAAAACTAAAGAAATTAAAGTAATAAAAAATAATACAGTTATTTTATACTTGATCACTCTAATATGGATACAAACGTCCATGTTATCCGATGCAAGATCACCATTGAGTCACAGATCTAATATAGGATAACAAGGACGTTCTAGTCCAAATTTTAGTGTTTAAGTATAAAATAGTTTACACTGATGATGAGACATACCAAGTCTCGAAACGTTTGTAAAATTTAAGATTTCGCCGTTGGGGGGCTTCTATTAATCACGTGAGGGACGGGGAGGGGGAGTTTGGAAAAATTACGAAATATCTCTTGGGGGAGGGAGGGGTATAGTAAGATATCACACATATTTATTTTTTACCTGAATTTGAAAAAAAATTCAAGGATTTTTGAAACAAAAATTTTACAATTTTTTCTCGTAACTAAAAATACAGCACGAGAATATCACCACGTATCACCAAGGGAGAAGTCGAGTCCAAAAATCCTTAAAAATTCGATCACGTGATCAATGGACGCCCCCTTGAAGAAATAAAACCATGTTTATCCTTACTTACCTCAACCGGTGTCTGTTAGCGGTTACTCTATAAAATTTTTGGCAGCAGCAAAAACCCTCGCTCTATATTTCTGCCAAGCCAGGAACAATTACACCAGTTTCCTGTAATTTTTTTAAATAATTTTTCCGTATAATTTAAAATTATGAAACAGCCGGCACAATTGTCACAACGATTCTCATATGTCACACCGTCGCGTCCGACTTGCGAATCAGTACTGACACAATGATGTAAGTACCGCGAGAGTATTTAGTACTGACGAGTGAGTCCACATGATATCAGACAACGGCTTGCCGCGGACATTCATTATATTCATAAATATTAGAATAGTTGAAGAGCTTGTGGTGAAACTATTTGTTTTTAGCCGGAATGACCTTGCCAATAAGTTGTAAAAATTAGATTGATAATTTAAATTTTCTTACGAATCTGCTTCCAAATTTTATCTAGTTTCCTGAATGGGTTAAAACTTGATGCTGAAAGAGACATCTGCATTTTGTAAAATAAATAATTTTTATTGTGGTTAACAAATTTTACCAATATTTTATCAATTTCCTTGAGCCGAACACAGACGTTCTGCATACATGTGCAACTGACTGAATGCGCATCCAGGTGTATTTTCACAGTGCCCACAGACGACTCAAGTGTTTGAGCATGATTTAGATTTAGATTTATTAGATATACAATTCACAGTTTTACAATTAAATAACAAAACAACCAAATATAAAATACAAATAAAGGATTGCTAAACTAATTTAATTTTGTGTCTTGATTTTATGAAACTTGATTACGTCTTCGTTTAGAGCATTTTCAAAAGTTGAGGTCCTGTATATCCATTAATTCGCAGAAATTATTAAAAAGTTTAGAAGCTTTTCTGAAAAAAAAAGAGCAGTATCAGAGACGAAGAAAAATATTTCACAGCTAAGTAATACTCAGTTATAGCCAAAAATTGCTGTATTTGTAAGATATCACATATAATTAGTAACAATAGATATTTATAATATGAAGGGGATGGTACCACTGTATTTCTTGAATTCAAAATTAATATATTCAGAAATGTCATAAAAACTGTTGGATTTTAGTAAATTAATCAAAACGTTGTGGAATTTGATTGCTTGGTTGACGTATTTGTAAAGGTAATAAATTGAACAGTTGAATACCAAAACCATCAATGAATTAAAAGTAGTATTAAGCTTAAAAGTCGAAAGATAAATTAAAATAGATAGATGTTCACTAACATTAAGTTCATTCTGCGCCTAACTGATGCCTAATTTTTTGAAAGAAAACTTCTTTAGGCGCGACTAGGTAGTAAGTCTGTACAAATGCAACGGAAATCCGTTACGCCAGAACTTTTCATTCGCTCTCGATGAGATCGGGACATTTCTATACGGGTCGATTGTGATTAGTCGTCGTGTATGTGAATAGAATTCTGTCGTTGTATGTGTACCGATATAACAAGGAAATCGGCATAGATAAATAAACATTTTAAAGTTACATCGTAGTACAAATCTTGATTTAATGAAAAATGCCTGAATCAGAAGAATATTTTACCCTGTTCCTTGACAATAATAAAACAAATTCAACATTTGGGCCGTGTAATAAACGTAAGTTAATTGATTAGAAATTATTTCTATATTATTCGTAGTTTCTATAAATCTTTGAAGTTATTAAAATGGAAAATATTGTGTAGACAATACAGATATTACAGCTGTTCAAAGAATGAGATTATATCGCCAGCGAAAAAGTAAAAAAAAATACAAGCAATCAATGATGTATGTTAATTTTAATTACATGAAGTTCTTCAGACACAATTACACGATAAGTGAAGTCGCGAAAACGATATTTGTTTAGGCGTTGTTTAATATAATCCACTATGTGAACGAATATTATAGAATTTATTAATCAGCAATTACTTCATTTCTCTGATGTAGGTTCATTTCTAAATGCTAATTACAATGACAAACCGATCATGTCATATTTGAAGTATGACTTTAATTACATTATCGTTTTTAAATATTATACATATTTTTGATGCTATTATAAATATAAATTTATAATTTATCATTATATAAATGTGTATAATGGTCAACACTAATAACTGTGTGCATCACGAGTGTTACCATAATACTGATAAACATTATTCAAAATTGTTATATGATGTATTTATTTTTACTTAAGTGCCATTTTGTACAGTAGCAAATGAGTTTTACTTCAATCGCGTGTGAATACAATTTTTCTGAAAAAGCAACTACTGATAGTAAAAATGCTAATAAATATCACCTTACACCAAGTTTTCACTTGTCATTTATCTTATCAGCTTTATGTTTATTATGAGGTAATGCGCGCGCTTTGGAACTGGCACGGTCCCCGGCTTTTCTGATTTCCAAATACTCAACTTGTTGACAGTGACATAATTTTCCTACCAAAGTTATTTTCACACTGAACACATGGCAATGTTTGGTGTGGTTGGCATTCGATGTACAAAATTTTATAAACAAAATTTGTTTTGATTTTGTACTAGCGAAGAATGAATTTGTTTAGAGCAATATGTTTTCTATTCTTTTTTATTCGCAATTAACTATTATATATGTTTGTAATATTTTTGTAATGTTTCTATTTTGAGAACATTGTTTCTTCATGGTAATAATAAACAATTTTTAAATAGAACATTTAGTTTACTTAGCGTTATTTATTCAATTTTATGCACATTACAAGACTAGAGACTTAACAATATACAATCCTGACTCATGTTGATTTTGCATGAAGAATGAAAGTTTTCATTCAAATAATCTAGTGGGGGAGTGATGTGGGTGACAGATTATTTAAGAGGCTAGTCATAAATTATCGCACAGGTTATTGTAAAATTGACGAACTCAATGATTATCGTCGTCAAGTATTTGAAAAACGTGGGTATCAAAAAGTTCAAGATAATAATCAAAAAAAGTATTAAAATGGGAAAGGAAACCAATCGAATAAAACACAAAATCAATATTATTTATAGTTTCTCAATTTTCTTAAGGCGATTTTCTCTAAAAGTAGAAATCTCTACAACGTGTAGGTGTTTTCTGAATATAATTTTAGTTTGTGAAATTAATTAAAAACTCTCAAGAAACCTATTTTGACATGAAGCCAACAATATTGCGCTAAATAAACTAAACATTGTGCTCAGCACGTGTAAGTTAACGATGGTGATCTGCGAAAATATATTCCAATGGGTTGACGTTTATTATAGATTCTATCTATTTATATCCATGTTTAGAAAATTTAATATATATATATATATATATATATATATATTTTGTATGATTCTGAATTTGATTTTGACATATGTATTAACAAAGTCTAATAATCGGGCATAACATCAATAAAAAACATTTTTATTGATGTTATGCCCGATTATTAGACTTTGTTATATTATATATATATATATATATATATATATATATATATATATATATATATATATAAACTAGCTCTATTCGATCTAGTTGAAAATGACGCACGTACCTTCGTGATTGATAGTTGAGCTGTATTAGATGCATCAACGAGAAAAACATCCCAATCAGCATCGCAATGTATACGCATATAAGTATATCAAACCTAAAATCACTAAACCTAGATAATAATCGTGATAAATTATCTGTTTTATAAAAAAATTTAATTACCTTACTTTTATTAAAAAAAAATTTTATTGGAGATAAACTCTTCAAAGGCATAAGGACCAGCACATTGTCTAAAAAATAATTAATTAATCAATTGACAATAAATATATGCACCTCAATTTTTTTTAAATTTTTGTAGCCGTATTATAAAATCTGTGAATGAATTAATTCAATTCAATCAAAATTTCAATTAATTTCCAATTTTCAACAAATTTTTGCACTTTGTTCTTTGTGATTAATACTTAAATATTAATTACTAATCTTTAATGTGTAATCATTTTTTATCAAACTGATAATTTTGTTTGTAAATATATTTTTTTAAATATTTGTGATTATGAAATATGATAGTCAATATTTCTATCTAAATACTAACAAAAGATTCTATTCAGTAGTAAATTACTCACGTTTTTTTTTTATATGAACAAATGTTAAACGGAAACGTTTCTATTCGAACTTTCGAGGTTCTGAAATTGGAAAATATTATATTTTTACATATAGACTTATTTATTATAAATAAATTAAGAACCATAATACAATTAATTCAATTTTTGTGGAACTATAGATGAAGGTATTGTTTAAGATAAGATAAGTTTCTTCTAATAGTTGGCATTTTGTTCTATTTAAAAAAACTAATTGTAAGCATTAGAATGTAATTTAAGAATTTAAATGCGAGTTTAACTTGTGCAATTTTTTAGATTTATATTCATGATCATTTACAATAAGACAATATTTTTTGCACGAGTTGACAATTAGTTGTATTACAAATAAAATTAAAATAACTCTGTCTTTGCAGTACAATATTCATATCAATATATATAATATATATATATATATATATATATATTTATATATATTACTCATTATTAATTACTCATAGATTATTTTATTATTACGTATTATAAATATAGAAACTACTCGAACGATTTCATGGTGCAAATTTTAAAACTATATTACACTTTGTATGGTGCATATAAACTTTGCGTTGCTAATGCAAAAAATCAAAGTCGAAATATTGATTATACATTGTAGACCGGCATAAAATACTGCATTATGTCGATATTAATATTATATATTATATATAACAAACTTTTTTATAGTTTGGACTAGAAACCTTTTAAATTCAATAATAAATCTCGCGCAATAACCTTTGAGGAGTAAAATAAAGTCACCTGGAAAAAATTATAAACAAATATTCATGTTAATATATAAAATATTTTAAATCCCCACAACTTTTCTTAGTTTATTTAAATCGATACAAATTAATTATATATATTATAAAGACCTGTGTAAATTTAATATTGGTTCATTTAATATTACTTGACCCTGTAAAAATGTACTAATATTTCTAATGAATCATATATTCTATGAAACTAAAAACTAAGTATTTATAATTATAAAGATAAAAAAAAATACACCTATATCTATATCTGCAATAGTTCAAAAAGTAATATAGTAATTAAATAATAGTATAGTAATATATAATAATAATATTTTTAATTTTATTTATCTCGATACAAATCTAACTACACAG